CGGAGATGAGTCGACGCGGGTGCATCCTATTGATCAGAGCCAACTCCACTGGGAACCAGTCGCTGTCGGAGTTCACTTACAAAGACATTATGCAGAGACGGATTGTGCTGGGGGTGAGTGGCGTCGTTCATAATAAGTTTAACTGAGTTGAGATTATTTCGACAAAAAAAAGGAATTTCTATTTATCATTGCCTAGTTAGGGAGAGTGTCTACGTACGTTATATGTCATATAACATTAAGTATAAAGTTTGCTTTTGCTTACATGTCTGTCTCCCTTTGGAAGTAGAAGAATGCATTAAAAGCAAATGATAGCAGGAGGATCCGTAATAACTTTTGCCTCTGCTGTGAGCCGGGGCCAATAACTTAACTCTGTTGAAGTACGCTTCCCTGATACCCGCGGTAAAGAAGAAGACGTTAGGGGATGTGGACACAATCGTTTACTTCAGAGCTCAACCACGATTGTGTCGTAGGTGGCGTTTGCACATATGTATTTTTACCTCAGATGTGTGAGTCATAACTGGGCTAACATCGAGATCTAGTTGTGAGGATAATCCAAGGCAATCAATCGCGCTAGTGATGGGAATTTGTGGATCCTCGCGGCTTGGAACATGCAGCGAAAAGGGAAACGCTCTGCCGGAGGATAGAGTGATTCTGTTTAGCAGTTGACGCTACAGTAATGGTATGGTAAAAATCTAGAAAGTGTATGAACAAGTCAGACTTTAGAATAAAATTAGTTTATTGCGATATTTAACATCGAGACGTGCTTCAGCAAGTCCCCACAAAGCGGAATCATAGGCGTCCTTCTGACGATCCCCTCTCAAATGCCGATTTCATTTAGCATTCTGGTGGAGATAATCGGTTGACCGAATCCCAATCGGCAGTCTTTTTGTAGGCAGAAGAAACTGTCGAAATCCGCCATATTTCGTCCCATTTAACGTGAGTAAAATTTAACTTTCCCCTTAAATTACAAACGTTCTGCTTTATTGTGAGAGTTATCGACAAGAGAGGCCATCACTTGCTGGTCCTTTTGTGACTGTTGAAAGGCGGTTTAGCCATAGTAAGGTTATTCGAGAGAAAGCAAGTGTGTTGTTAACGCCAAAAATCTGCCCGTTCTAAAAGGGCTCACAGACAGCGTCGGCGGACGGCCGGAAGGAGGGCAGTCGAATGTCACTGCACGACTGGCTGGCCTGCAACGTCATCCCAGATTCCAATGCCCTCAACAAGGCCTACCTGCGTTCCATGAAGAGGCGCAAGCGTGGACCCCAATTTACCGGCGATTCTGGTAATTGTTCTCTCTCTCTTTATTTGTGGCTCCAAGTGCCATTCTAACACCGCAGTTCAAGCCGCCAGCATTCTGTCAATTCATAAACTGCTCTAGGATGTTGCCGATTTATTGCTGCACACGGCACCATGGTTTTGTTTCATGGTGAATTTCGCTTATTGCTAACAATTTGCCTATATGTTATTAGATGGACCTTACCACCGTGGCTTGTCTGAGCCCTACGCTGCTGGCAATATCATGTGACTTCATATCCAATCACAGCAACGGCATTCCCGAACCCAATTAGGTCGTAGGACCTCATGC